TGGGGGGGGGCACGTGGGGGAAAGGGCCGGGCGGTGGGAGAGCTGGTCTTCCTGCTATTGGATTCAATAGTCACCTCCTCAGAACTCGCCAGATCCACTTGTCTGGCTGGACCCACGTAACCTGCCTGTTACTGTATCCGTTAAGGCGTGAATTGGCCCGTGTCTCTTTCTACTGGGGAGCGATTGCATGGCTGGGGGGCAGCCAGGCGAAGCAGACAGTGGCTCTGTGCGCAAGGTTTTCAGGCTGGTGTGACAATGGAGTTCCTTCCCATTCCTATGAAGAACTCGCCAGATCCACTTGTCTGGCTGGACCCACGTAACCTGCCTGTTACTGTATCCGTTAAGGCGTGAATTGGCCCGTGTCTCTTTCTACTGGGGAGCGATTGCATGGCTGGGGGGCAGCCAGGCGAAGCAGACAGTGGCTCTGTGCGCAAGGTTTTCAGGCTGGTGTGACAATGGAGTTCCTTCCCATTCCTATGAGATTACAGTCAGGCCCAGCTAGCCCGCCTGGGCTGCACTTGGCGTCAGTGGCAGCCAGAATGGAAGCAGGATTGGTCCCATTGTCAGGTGCCAGTGTCCCTGGATTATAAAACACTGCCTTTCCCAGTTCATTAAGAACACAACGGAATGCAATTCGTGCAGTTTCCTGCCATTGGTGCAAATGGCAAGACGCATGATTACGAGGGCACAACACTGCACCTTGTTAAAAACTAAAGACAGCAGAGGTGTTAGACTCCTCCAAGGTGGGGATGGCTTATCGGAACAGTCTCCTTTCTCCAGCACATCCCCAGCGCCCATTGATAATTGTTGACAGCAAAGGCTGCACAAACGCCAGCCGGGTTTTGCTTTGCATGGAGCATTTCCTATAGTTTTCGCATTCTTCTTAAGGTTCGTAGCTAAATGTCACTGCACAGCGTGGGTGTCGCTCTGCTGAACACGCTGCATCACCTTTAAAAATAGGGATCATTTATTAAAAAGGACGGGATCTTTTGAGTTTGAATTTTTTTATGATGCCTTAAATTAAACCGTCTCTTTCCCCGAGACACGGTAAAGGGTGTTTCTTACTATCGAACCCCAGGCATTCCAGAGGCTAGGAAATATGGTCAGGAGAACATGCCAGCCGCACCTGCCTATTGTCATCAACGATTTTAATGCTGGCCAAGTTTGGGGCTTGATCCCGTACGTGTTGTATGTGACTTTACTGAGACTTCTCACGTGTGTAAATTACTTGTATCTGGCAATGACTGGAGGATGAGGCCTGAGTTTGGTTTTTTTCTGCCCAGTTGTTGCTACCCCTTTCCTCCTGCTGCTTAAATTACATTGCTTTTGTGCAAGTACGGTTCCAAAGCACAGACATAGTCAAAGGGCAGTGGTGGTCTGTTAATGAGCGTTACATACACATTCCTCCAGGGGAGAAATAACCCAGATGCGTTTGTAAACCCTAGGTCAGGAAGCGGAAAAGCAATGATTTCTCTGTGGCCTTGAGCCTCCCAGACAGCCAGACGTCATGTTTTATTCCGTTACTCCCCTGTTCAGCTCATCCTGTTCTTTATATGTACACACAGAGAGCGAGCCTGCCCTTTAAACAGCCCGGAGGGCCAGTCCCCAACCAAGCGAGTGTCCATGGCAATTCCCAGAGCTGTGCATGGCCATTTCGACACCAAGGGTGAAATCTTGGGGCCGTTGAAGTCAATTGCAAAACTGCCATTGACCTCAGCGGGGGCTGGGTTTCACTCCGACAGCAGCTGGCTGCGTGGGTGCAGCATCTCCGTTTGTACATGCAATGGCAGTAAGTGTGCACATTCATTGGGCGTGCAAGTGCACCCTGGACCATTTCAAAAGCAGGCCATGCCGATCCAAATAAACGGTGGCATTATGATGTAAGCAGCAGCAAACTTGGTAGTTAACTGAGGATGCTTAACCATCCACTGTGGTGATGAAAGCGGTATGGGAACCAGGGTAGACAATCTGGAAGAGATTCTCCTTCCTCCAGCCCCTTTTCCAGTTGCTTGTAACTTTTCAAAACTTTCTCCTTTTGGGCCGCGATTTTACAAGGTTGATCTGTGCTGCCAGGTGACTTTAAAAAACCGCGGTAACCTTTTCTGCAACACATGAACGGAAAAGCTGCATAGCACCTGAGCTCTGGGAGAGAGACAATGTCAGTGTTGCAAACTCTGACAAAGATATCCCCAGAGTTTTGCTAATGCCCCAGCTCCTGCACCCCCAGGAGAGTCTCAGATTTTGTCCAGAAGAAGGAAACTCTCATAGCTTCAGAGAAAAGTTTGAGAATGTGAAAGGTTCAAAGCCCAAAAGGCCTCACATCCCCAATACTCCCATCGAAAAGAGAGGTCCTCTCTTCAGCTGCCCAGCTAATGGGCTGCCCCCTGCTGACTCATTAAGTGGGGCACACAGGGTCTCCTGGTAAGTGTGTAGCTAAATGGTTCCACATGATGGAATTGCTTTTTTTTGGTCTTAACCCCCACTCCCACCCTGCAGTACATTCCATGAACACCCTTCTGACCCACTCAGTGACTGCCACTGGTGTACAGCTAAGCACCCTCAGTGCGGTGGGAGTAGTACAAACGCTCCCTTTGGCGCTGCGGGCTATTGGGAAGTGCAGTCGTAGGACACTGTATTATTTCAGGACGAGGCCTGTGCGATGGTTTAACGACGGGCTGCGCCGTAGTGCGAATGCACAAGGGGGCAGAGTGAACTTTGCACTGCTCCCTTAGCTTTCCCGGGACGGAGCTTTCTGGCAGATGGCTCGGTGCGAGGGAGGGTCTGTGTATCTAGATCACTGAGAACCTGAGCCGCCGGCCAGGCAACAGTGGTACATGCAGCCCGGCTCCTGTCTGAGCAGGGCCGGGAGATGGGATGGGTTGGCTCCTAGCTCCGCAAGCTGTGTCTGGCGTGCAGTCTGATTCATTACCTGTTTGTCCTACTCGGCCTGGGCATTTCCTCAGCAGCTGTCACCAGGTTTCCACCCAGGGGTTGCGAGGCTGATAGCAACGGGGGCAAGCCAAAGCAGACAATCTGGACTGGCTTTTCGCGCGGAAGGTGCCCCGTCCCCTGCCTCCCAGTGAAAGGAGGACTTGGAGCAGATGTGCCTTGGTGGGCGGCTGGTCGCTTTCACTTCATGAAAGGACCGACTACTGGCATCCCAGAAGCAGGCTTCCCCGAGCGGCTAGACTGGGCTTATGGCAGAGAGATGCCAGAGCTTCCTGTGTTTCCAAAAGTGGCGCGCTTGGGCACGGCCGCTGTAGGCCCCCCCCAACTCCCGTTGCTTTCCCCTGCGTGCAGCAGGAAGCCTGTGCAATGCGGGCTGAGCAGATGGGCAGGGAGGGCGCAGAGAATTATCTTATCTTATCACCTGCTAGTGAATCCCGTTCAGCTGAAGGGGGGTCATAGAGCTGGGAGGGGGAACTTTTGTGGGGCGGGAGCCACTGACCCCCAGAAAAATCAGGTGGGGGCCGCACAAAAGTGAAAAGACAAACCCACCCCCCATGTTCCAGAGTCTAGCGAGGCCCATGCTGCTAGGTTTTGTGCCGCTCCAGGTTCTGGGGCAGGCCATAGGTTCTCCACCCCTGCCATAGGGGGCTGCTGGACTGACCGTGGGGCCCAAACGTAGGGTACGGAAGGTTTCCACAGACACAGATTGGATCCCATTGAAAGCCAGCTCCGTTTCCAGAACTGGCTAGTCACGGTTTCTGGCGGCTCAGTTCCCGAGTGCCCGCCTGGGCCGTCTTAAAGGGTCCTGAATTTCAGAGTGTGGCGAGCTCTAGAAGTCAGCGTCCTCAGGCGGGATCTGGCTGCTGTTGTCACGTTCTCAGTGTTGTTTGGCCGGGCAGTGTTATGTGTCTTGTGACGACAGGACAAAGCTGCAGGAGAGAACGGGGGAGAAGAAGAAATGTCTCAGAAAGGAGGCCGAGTCCCTAGCCAAGACTTACCGCCAGCCAAGCCAGTGAATGTGTGTGTGGGGCCAGGTGTGCTCTGTGTGTGTTTGTGCAGGGCACAGGCACAATGTGTGCAATACGTGTGTTTGTGCAACACATGTCATTTGTGCAGGCTGCATATGTGCTGCTCGCAGTGGGTTTGTGCAGCCTTCCTGCACTCGGAGTAGGGTGTGTGTTTGCAACGCACAAGTAGTGTTTGTGCTTTGTTTGCTGT